TGATGTCAGGGGGTGTGGCATATGCTAATGAGTTACGCTAATGAGTTCCCCTAGCTCTTTTTCTACAAAACGACCCCTGAATTAATCTAACCAATTAATTCCCTAAACTAAAGCCTGCACCTCCAATATAGATGCACGTTTGATCCATTCTTGGTAGACTGGGCCACTGGTGCAAAAGACAGCAGCCAACTCTCAAATTAGGTTGGATGTCATTGCGACATAAAAATCCGCTCGGGCCACCAATCCATTTCTAGGCCAGATCCAAAATGCTGATGATACAAGGAATGAATAAATTCATCAGTGCAGCCACATCAACATCCATGGCACCTGAGCTGTAAGGTATCTGTTTCCATGTGATCCTGCTGGTCTGCTGCAGAGACTCATTTCTGGGTGCCTGGCCTTCAGAGGTGAGACTGGCAGTCTAAACTGACAGGGCCTTCTTTGTGGTAGTGCCCAGATGTTGGAAATTGGTCGGTGAGTAGGGTGCCTCACTTGGCAATCTTTCTATGCTAATTTTTAAAAGTATCTCTGTTTTCTTGCATTTGGGGCTGACACCAGCCTGACTGGGGAGGAAAGGGAGCATTGCACACAACCAACCTGATTTCTTTCTCTCTTTAAAAAAAATCCCTGTGATCTTTTGTTTCTTGCGCTATTTTAAAATTGGGGTTTTATCACAATTGCTTAATGGATGTTGGATGTTGTGAGATGCCATTGGCAGAAAAGCAAAATCAAAAATGTTAAATTCAGTGGTCATTTCCTGCAGGAGCGCACAGGAGCGGAGCTCCGGCAGTAAAGAGCCCAGGGGGTGGGCACATGCAACAAGCCCCTCCCCCTGCTCCCAGCAGCCCTCAGTCAGAGCAGGAAGCAGCCAGGTAAGCTGTAGAGCTCCCCCCGCCCCTGGTCCAAAACAGTTCAGTGGCAGCTTTAAGACCAAGTTTTATTCAGGTACAAGCTCTCCCTCCTCTGCGAGGACGGATCTGCACGTTCCTTCCCCCCCAATAGCTAGCAATCCAAAACAGTCCAGTGGAGCCTTCTGACAGACTTCCGGTGATGTCAGGGGGTGTGGCATATGCAAATAAGTTATGCAAATAAGTTATGCTAATGAGCTCCTGCACCTCTTTTTCTACAAAATGATCCCTGGAAATTCATTGATGTATGCACACAAAGAGATAGGGATTAAAGTTGCAGTCCTCTGTATACTTACAAAGTGAGGTTTACCTCTGCGTAAACACGCACAGGATCGCATTGCTTAGGCACCCATTTGCCAAATGTACACGTGTCCACATATACACATCGCTCTCTTTCCAGGATTCCACTCGATGGCTCTGGAGAGAGGAGGGTGTTTATTTCAGGGCTGCGCAGCCTGCACCTGCTGGCAAGGAGAGAGGAGGGGCGGAGCCAGGAGCGACCGCCCCTCCGGGCCCATTCCAGCCAGCCAAAAAGGCCCCAAGTCTGTTAGGTATTTGAATAGCACAAAGGAACCGCCTCGCCTTGATTGGCCGGCCCGGCAGCTCTGGGGCGGGCGGCGGCTGCCAATCCAAGCCAAAGGCGGCCGGCGATAGGCGCGGGCTGCCGGGGGCGGGCCGGCCGAGGCCCTATAAGTAGCGGGGGTTGGGTAAGCGAGCGCTTATTGCCTGGCTCTCGAAAGCGCGGACGGCCGGAGCGAGGGGAAGGAAGGAAGGGAGGAAGGGGCGGGGTTGGCTGGCTGGCTGGGCTGGCGAGAGAGCCGAGCGGAGCCGAGGAGAACGCGCGCCAGGGCGCATGGTGATGGTGCCCGGCGCGGCGGCGGCAGCGACCCCCCGAGAGCCCCGCTAGGCTCCGCTCTTCGCCGCTCCCGGGCGCCGGGCTCTCGTTCCTCTGTCCCCGCGCCCGGGTGGATGCGGGCCCGGGCGGGCGGCTGCGGCGGCGGAGACGGCCGATGCTGAGGGGCCGGCGGGGGAGGATGGAGTGCGCCCTCGACGCCCAGTCGCTGATCAGCATCTCCCTGCGCAAGATCCACAGCTCCCGCACGCAGCGCGGCGGCATCAAGCTGCACAAGAACCTGCTCGTCTCCTATGTGCTCCGCAACGCCCGGCAGCTCTACCTGAGCGAGCGCTACGCCGAGCTCTACCGGCGCCAGCACCACCACCACCACTACCAGGAAGGCGGGGGAGGGGTGCTCTTGGGCATGCCTCCCGGAGCCTGCGCGCCCGCCTCGGTCGGCGAGATCGCCGCGGACTTCAGCCCGCTCCACTTGCAGGGGGACGCCGACGACCACGAGGGGGGAGGAGGCGGTCTCCAGCCGGGGCAGCCGCCGCGGAGCTGCGCCCTGGCCCGGGTGGGCGTCGGGAGCGAGCTGCTGGAGATGCCCGTTTGCGCCGCGCTCCTGCCCGGCGCGCCCCAGGACGAGGAGCCGCTGGGGCTGCCGCCTCCGCCTGCGCCGCCGGCCGCCCTGTCGGGGCTCTGCAGGGACGCTTCGCCCGCCGCTTTCTACCAGCCCCGGCCGAGTGGCGGCCCCGGGG